ACTAGGGCACTAATAACCATCAAAAAGGAAAAATAATTTATATTTTTCATTGTTAGTTTTTATAACTGGAAATTCCATGAACCAGACTCACACACAGAGCAAGTTGCTTGCCAAATAGCTTCTGCCTTTCCATGTTTCAGAGGGCAGTGGGAATGTCAGGAGCCCTGTTTGAAACGCCCGCCGCGTTGCTCGTTCCCACTGAACGTGCAGTCAGGCGGCCCTCAGATGGGTGAGGATGGCCCCTGGCCTGGTGCCACCGTGTGGCACCTGGAAAGGGACCTTGTCGCTAGGAATAGCGCCTGGTCGCTGTGCGATGCGGGGAGAGAGGGAGATTCGGCTGTTTTGAGGAGATGCCCAACTGTGAGCAGCATGGGGCCTGCGGTGTGGACTTCCTGAAAAAGTACTTTGTGTTGCTGCGGGGAAAATGAAACTTCACCTGCTATTTTGAAGGGGAAAAAACCCACAATTATTTATGAGCAAAAGCATGGTTAATCCTTGAAAAATAAAATAAAGGTATTAAAAATCCTCAAATGTTATCCTTGTTAAGAAGGACAGCATACATAAAATCTAAGAAGCTTAGATAGATTTTAGTTTTTCACCAAAATAATTCTGAACATAAGTAATTATAGTGTGCTCTCCTTGCCCGAGTGTCTAACAGACCTGTCCATCTTATCTCAACACTGAAACTTCTCTGTTTCCATTGACTTCACAGAAGCTAAACAATGAAAATACCTATTGCATTGCAGATTCCTTGCCATTTCAGAGAACCGTCCCTGTACTCTCTCTACCGGTTTCTAAGTGACTGTGGCTTTGAGCAGTCTTGGGAGCATTTTCCATCCTTGCAGGCTCTCCAGCCTCACGGGAATGTACGACTTTCTGCCATCGGATCTCTGCTTCCCTTTCATTTTGATTAACAAATCAATGTTGTTGAACATTGGAAGCAATGGGTTGTGTTTTACTAGTGACTTCGAGAGATGTTTTACCTCCTGGCTGGACATGAAGCCATAATTATGTCTGTGGCCTCTGTTTTTGGTGGAGGATAGGTAAAATAAAATACTGAAGCATAAATAACCGTGGGCTTTTCTTTCTTTTGCTTTCTCTTACCAAATGAGTAATCTTGAAACACTAAGAAAGAGGAAACAGTACGTCATAGATTTAAACCATACTAGATATTTTTCCTTTATTAAAACTCTACATGTGTTGATGTATTGAGTAYCTGGTAAATCTGAAATTATATATGTGCTGCCGTTTATCAAAAGATTATTTGTTTCTCACTTCAAGGACAATTCATGGCAGCTGCCTTATTAAACTTCCTGCCTTGGTACTGATCAGTAAGCACTCATTCCAGAAAGTTAGGCTTCTGAAAGGTCTGGTTTTAAAGAAAAAGCTGACATTTCCAAGACGGACTTTCATGCCTAATCAAGAAGGGAACTATCGTACACTTAGATCCTTTAGCATTGTTTCTGTAGTTTGGTCTACATTTTTAAGATTTTTATGCCAGAGAGGTACATTTACTAGGTTACTAACAGGCAAAAGAGGGCTGTTAACTATTCTTATTTTATTGGTTCTACTCTATGTCTACTGTTGTCCTCTGTGTTTGCAGGCTTTGATGTGAGCAGCAATAACTGCAGTTGTTTATGCATTATGTTTAGGTAAAGCAGCCGTGGGAAATACTAGATTTTTGTTATATAAGCAAAACTGGATGGAAGAAGCAGAGCAATTAAGTATTTTTAAGAACCTTGCTGCTTCGTTTTATAGAAGCAGGCATGACAGCAGTCTGTTAAGACTTTATAAAGTTCTGGTGCAGCAAGAAAGGAGCGTTACAATATCACTTCTTGGGGTAATAAATTGAAATGGTCTGGTTGTTATTAGAATGCTGATCAGGAAGGAAACAGAAGTCTGTCCTGTCCTTTTTTCATAAAATGGCATAAAAAAGGTTACACACTTCAAAATGCAGAAAAGACAGAAATTAAAAGCTTAAATAACTGCAAACAGCAGGGTACGTCAGTAATGGAAGGACTTCTTAAATGACTTTGACAGCATTTGCAGGTGCAYGTACTATGTCACTTCGCCTAGTGGAGCACTGAAAAAGATTTACGGTTCTCCTTTTGGAATTTATTAAGAGTTTCGTTCTTTTTCTTTTTTTTTCTTTCTTTTTGGTAAAGCAGTCTGGACATAACCTCTCCCTTGCAGTTATTTTTATTACGGCTCCTAGAGGAAAGTCATCTATTCAAAACCATGTGTTGCTTGTTGTCTCAGTGGCCGGCTCGCAGAGCTGTAAACTCCAGAGAATGTTGTTATTTACAGCTAGATATTTTTCTTTCCCTCCCCTTTCCCTTCCTTTCTTCATATGTAAATCCTGTTTTATTTAGTTTAGTTCTTGAAAATCTTCCTTTATGATTTTATAGCCCTAAACATTTAAAGTTACTTTTACAAAGAGAGAATCTGACCATCGGGGCCTAGAAGAGATGCTATTTTGATGTTTACAGGCATATGTTTTGTTACACTCCTTCATATGATGTTATTCCTGTTTTCACTAATGCACTTTTACATAGTGCTGTCAGTAAATGCTCAAAGGAGCAAAGATACGGGTAGCTGTTATGCCTGTGGTGTTTGCCAATTCTCATCAGTTTTACTCCGTTTCTAATACTCAAAGATGCAACTTTTTTTTTTTAAAAAAAAAGCAAACTTGACATCTATGCTCTTTGAAACCCTATTTGAGCTTTTGTCAAACCAGTGAGTGTTACCTTGTGGGATTTTCCTCCGCTGACAGAATTAATCCATCTGCAGATAAACAAGTGTCTGTAGTTTTGTTTTTAGAGAACCTTCTCTCCCTCAAAATCTTGCCTTTCTATCAGTAGGAATATTTCTGGTGGCAGCACCTAAGCCTGGTGCCAGCTCTAAGCAAATGAGGCAGAAGTGCAGAGTTGTGCTGTCCGAGAGTCTATTGCAGGGCTAGGGCTTTAATTTAAATGAATGCCATGTGTGTCATGTGTCAGTCAGCATTTCCTCGAGGAGGCAATGAGTTCTCAGTGCTTTGGAAATAAAATATTTTAATTGCCCCAGTGAAGATAAATGCTTAAAGCAGCAACTTTTAAACTGTGGCAGTAATCAGTAATTAAGATAACTAACAATGTCCATTAAATCAGTGGTTTGCCTTCTCTTTAGTTGCATGCCATGGTGTGATTGATTCCTGTACTAATGATACAAAGAGCTCACAAAACTACAAGGAAATCTGAATTTACAGAACAAATTTAACAGAAGACAATGAAAGGAATAGCTAAAAAGCTTCTACTTAGCATGGTTTGGACCGAGAATCAGATATTACTTCGATGTGATTGATAACAGTCACATAAATCATATGTTATGATGACTTATTTCAAAAAGTTTTACTTGATTGAGTTGGAATATCTCCATTTTTATGTTCACTGAACAGTACTTCTTTGATTAATCCTCCTTCCATGGTAGTACATCTGAATTCTGTTTTTGCACTTCCTCTGAGCTAAGAAAAAGTCAATGGAGAGTATGTTCTAAAATGTGTTTATTTGCCTTTGATTCCCTGTGTTTTATGTTTCATCCTTTTTCCTTTGTTTCAGTGTGAAGCTTAGTCTGGGTTCTCTCCTAGTTTTTAATGCTATACTAATTCTGTTGTTTCTATCAGCTGTTACTTGCTTTTAGACATTGAGCCACGTGTTTTCACTTGTTGTTAAAGCAGTGCACAAAGAACAACAGAATAAGTGTTATCAAAACTTACTGTGTTAATTAAAATCTCTCTTGCTGAACAAGAAAAAAAATTGTCAGTCTATAAAGAAGGTATATGGAGATGGTCCTGACAATAATGGGGAAAAATTGCAGATAGTGTCCAAGTCCATGTAAAACACTGATAACATCTGTAATAGGTGACATTGAAATCCTCACAAKACGAGATTTCCAAGCTCCTTGTAGTCTGAAATTAAGGCCATATTTCCTCACCATCAGGGCCTTGTTGCAGGCTTAGGCATTTGCTGAACTACATAATGAGATATGGGGCAGTAGGACTTCTTTTTTACTAGCGTATGATTTTCTTTAAAGTTAACTAACACCGTTTTTTTTCTTTGCACAAATTTCATCCATATGTCTTTAAATTATGGCCAGTTCTCCAAGGTTCAAACTCTCTTCTGCAGATTGATTGTGTGTGTAGTTAAAGTTTGTGTTTTAAATACAGAGCAAGGATTAGAAATACACAAAATCTAAGGCAGTCTTGTGAAGTGGAAGGAGCTAAAATGTCTGACTTAAACATTCTGTTTGAAATAGAGACCTTTTTTCAAGGAYGGTAAAAATCCCAGCCTGCTTCTGAGTGCTGAATAAGAGCATGATTAAAACAGGCTAGTGACTGCTCGGAATGGTAGTATATGAATTTACAGCACACCCACTACTCTGCGCTAGCTCCCCATGGGATGCAATGAGTGCACACAAGCTGTGAGGTACCTGCAGATTTACAGTAAATGATCCTGCACAAAGGCACTCTTAGTTTAGAGCTGGCATGTTATTTACTCTGCACTTGTGTTTAACACCTCTGCATAAACATAGCTGTGTAAAACGACTCCTGACTTGTTTTGTGTTTGCTTCTCCAAAAATCCATTTTTCTTCATTTTGAGTAGACTACGTTGGCTTTGGAATTTGGAAAATATTTCAGAATATGATAAATCGCAGTGCTTTGTACTAGTGCTCTCTCTTGCAAGAGAGAGTAGCTGGTAGATGTGTCCAATGGCCACAGGTTGGTTTGTGCTAATCAAAGCTTTGCATAAATAATAAGGCAATTAAGAAAAATAGTTTTGCTGTTTCATTGGGGATGCTTGAGGACTTTAAGCCCTCTAATAAAAACCTTTAAAAGACTTGATCAGTTTCTAGTAGTCCTCATAAAGTGCTCAGATGTTTTAAGTAAATAAAGGGTCAAATATTCATCAATAATGATGAAATAGTAAAAATAAAAATCACAATCTTAATTTCCTATCCCACAGACACGTTTTAACCAGCATCTCAGTAACCATGATTTTGCATTGGATGAAGATGATGATGGAATGGACAGAACAAGCAAGTAAGAAATCTTTTTAAATACATATGTATGTATGAGAGAGGCCATCAATACTGTGGGCAGTCACATCCATTCAAGAGCAGTGGCCCTTTGAGTTCTATGCCAAATCTTTCTCTGTGTGAGTTAAAGGAAAATCTTGAAAGGTTGAGGCTGCCAGTATTCCCTGATTGCAGACAGGACATGATATTTGCTGAGTAAATGGCTATAAGCAGTGAAGGACCTTGAAAGCCAAGACAAGCTGCATAAGAGCGATGCGGTAGAGAAAATGGAACTAGTGAAGAATTCAAAGAGAAAAGGGAGATATCAAAACAGTGAGCTGTGGAAACAAGCTTTGTAGTAGTTTTCTGAACAGGCTTAAATAGGGAAGGACTGCAGCGGTGGGGGTTGGCCGTAAGGGTGGTGTAATGAATGAAATAGAAAGTGGCAAGAAGCAGTAACAGTAATTCTCCTTGCAGATATGAATTGCTGGRGTAAATCAGATCAAATAGAATAAAATATGTGGCCAGTAGACAAGGAAAAAGAGGACATTTTGGTGGGAAGATTTGGAAAATCCTATTAAGAGTAACTCAACAGTTATAATGGTTGGGGGAGAGAGAAGACAGGAAAGGAAAATCAACTAATAGTAGCTGTATCTGCCTAGGTATCACACGTCTACCTTTAKGTAAAATTGCTGAGTAAAAGGAAGAGTTGGGTTAACTTGGGTTTGTTTTCCAAAGTGTTTAGGGTGAATTTTTCCATTTATTTTCACAAGTGGCTGTAATAAAATGTTCTTCGGTTCCTATCTAATGGAGAAGTTTTTGTCCTCAGGTTATCATCAGAAGACAGTGAGGAAGCTTCTGCTTATCTCTATGACAGCGATGATTCTGGAGAAACTGGAGTACCTCCTCAGAACCAAGGAGAAATGGACTTGCTTGGRGAAATTTTGGACACCCTGAGCACACATAGTTCAGATCAAGGAAAGCTCTCAGGAGCAAAGAGCCTGGATTTTTTCAGATCAATGGATGATATTGATTACAAGACCACGGTTAGTCTTCTGCTTTTGTTTGATAAACAACCCCAGTCTATTTCTAGTGCAATTTTCTACTTGTGAGATCTGAACATGTGGCCCAAGAACTGCAGACTGTTCTGTAGAATTACGAGCATACCTTCTTCCTGCTACAAAACACTCATGTTGACAGATGCATGATGGATTTTCAGCAGCCAAGAGATTGATTATGCCTTTTTTCCAGCTTACCAAGTCATCTTGGACTGTTTTTTCCTTCATAAGTCATCACAGTTTAGAACTGTGATTTTCATAATTTAAGATTTTAGTCTTTATTATGCGCTTCAGAAACTCTTTATTTCCCTTTTCGACTTGCATTGTTAAACTAGACGTACTGATAAGGTCAAATAATGTTTCCAGCTTCACTAAGCTATGGAGTCCATGGCATCTATATTTGCAATTGAAATGCTATTGGAATAATATTCCAAAGACACCCTGCAAGTGACCTTGCTTAAGGAAGGTTCAAGGAGCCCTCTTGGGTAGCATTGCACAGGATCCATAATATAAGGAGATTACTATGCTGCTCTTGGCTGCAGCTTTAAAACTCTCACCATTTTTTTTTTTTTTTTTTTGGTATTAGCCAGAAAATGTTAGTGTTTTTGAGTTCTAGCTCAAGTCAGCTGTTCAATATGTGCTTTTGTTGAACGGGTTAATGTAGTAGAAAGGATGTCACTAGAACAGCAAATCTGCATGTTAACATTTTAAATACTTAAAACTTTTATATGAGAAGTGCCACATAGGGCTCATATTAACAAAATGTCTATTTTTCTTTGACTTAATTTAATATTAATTTAATCTTAATTTATAAGATTGGATATTAAAAGTTGATGTAGTTACTAAACCAAAGATGAGATACCATCAGATTTTACTGTTAGTCAAGTTCCTGTTCACATTATGGTACAAACCCCAGACTGTCTTTGTTCACTCTCAAAGCTGCTTAGGCAAAGACAGAACAGCCAGTTGAGACACAGCTGCTTTATTTGTCCAAAGGGCGATCCTTAGGATGAAAGAGGTAGAAAAGAAGTATCAAAGAGCTAGTTCTTATGTTGTTCCTGGGATTGCTGTTTTGTAGCAGTGAACATTCACCTAAAAGGGATTCATGATTTATGAACCAAAGATCTGTTAGAATATTTGCTTCAAAAATGCCAGTGCAGAGATGCTTTCTGTGACATAAATTGTGTACGCGTGGTTTTTGTTTCAGAACAAGTCTAATGCACCCAGTGAGAGCAACCTCACCTTSCTCTGCAGCGGTAATGACCAAGCAGACTGGCATCTCGGTCAGGATGACAGTGTCCTCCATGGGAAACAGCTCCCTCCATCACCAAGGAAGCAGGTTTCTTCTAGTGGCCATAGAGAATCTCTCTCCAAGCTGGAAGAAGAAAGTAGTGACCAAACCTTTATTACTGACAGGATGAAAGTCCCTCGTGGTTGTGTAACGACCCCATCTCCAGTAGGATCAAGTGCCCGGTTTGCTTCTCAAGGAGACTGTCGAGCAGGGTACTCGTCCTGTAAGTATGCAAAGCAGAATGCAACACTAAGCAATACCTCAGAAGCCCAGCTCCCAGCAAGTCTTGCTCAACATCCATCCATTCTGGTCCCGTGGGAAAAAGATGGGAAAGGAGGAAATGAAACCTCAGAAGAGGGTGGGCTTCTTCAAGAAGTGGTATCATTATGTAAACTGACTTCTGCTTTTCATTATGGTTTAAATATTTCAAAAGATAATTTATCCAGCAGTAGCAGTGGAAATAAAACGTAAGAAAACTATGACAAGAGAAACTTAAGTCCCATCTGAAGTTAAAGGGGGACTACTCAGGACTCCATATAACTCCATAAACATGATAACCAAAAGAAGAAAAAGGAATGAGATCTTCAGTTATAAGAATAATTCTCTTCAGTTGAGTATGTATTTTCTGCCACTGAGACATCAGCTTCTCTGTTTACCCACTTCATTTGTTAGCTGTAGTTGAGTCCACCAGATGGAACTAAGTGTATGAATGCACTCTTAAATCAGGTACTAGTTAGTCTGTGTAGTAAGAAATACAGCGGTGTATGGTGCTTACTAGCATTTACTTCCTCTGAGCAGCAGGAAAGGTATCACCTGAAAGATAACCAGGTCTTGAAGGTACTGTGTTCATCCTATTGAGCATGAAATGAACCGAACTATTTAGTTTTCTCTGTATTGTACAAATGTTAATATTTGTAATGAGTAATTGCCTTAATCTTTTGAGAAAAGGTTTAAGTATCTTAGAAGATGAATGCAAATGTGCAAAACAGCAATAATGATTTTCCATAGCAAGAACTTGCTTCAGCAAAGGGAAAAAAAAAGGAARCTTTTTTAGATTAAAAATTCTCTTGTGAATATACCTTGGAATTTACTGCAAACTAAAACTGTGGCCCTGTCTTCCAGACTTCGGAAAGGTAGTGCATGCTTTTCTCTTCTGTAAAGTACATGAAGTGCTGAATTATAATGTGAAGTTTATTAACTTCTGTTTACAACTAAGACACTTTAAAGAAATACTGTCCAGTTTCCCTAGGTAGATTCTKTCGTCTAAAAATTTTCAGAAAGGAAAATGTAAGTGGAATTGAGAGATTTTTATTACTTTTTATTTTTTATCATTTAATAATAGTGTTTTAAAACTGATTTGTGCCTCTTCTGAACAGTCATCTTTTGACTTTTAGTAGCTACCTGTTCAATGATAGGTTGAATTAGTATAATTTAGAAATCATATTTAGTTAAATTATTAAAAAGTCATAACTGAAAATTACCTGTAACACTAGAAAACTAAAATAGTGAGTTCGACTAGAGACTGCATGTATCCAACTCTCATTTTTGTCAAACTGAGCACTCAAAACTCTCTTTCTAAATTCAGTGAAGGAAATTGCATAGGATTTAATGTAGGTTATATTTCAAATGAGCTTTTATCCTCCTTCAGGCAGCATTCCTAAAGAATRTTTAGAATCTAAAAACATTATTTCCTGCTATGGTAAGGAACATCTCTTTCCTTTTTTATTTCCCCCTCTTATTTCCCCCATGCACCTTTCCATACCTTCCTTCCTGTGAAATATCTCGAGTTAGGAAAGGTGTGAACCAAGCTTTGCTAGATGATGCATTGAAGGGTATTTGTGATGCAGCTGGCAGAAGTGACACAAGGGTATAAAGAAATCTGTGCCAGAGAAGAATGTTCTCCTCCTCTTAGCTGATGCCAAAACCCCTTTTGCTTTCTTTCCATTTATTTGTTCTGAATGGTTACTCTTATCCTCAGCATAGGCTTGAGTGAGCAAGATAGTGAGGTCAGGAGTTAGAGCAGATTGTGCTTGAATGTCTAGATAGTTCGTAATGAAGGTTAATATCAGTTACTGCATTTAGGTTTATTAATTTTCTTCTTAGCTAAGGAAATTTTCTACAGCTGCTCTATTGCAAGGCTGTTGATCCAAGTGTGTGAATGCATCTTGCCACACAAGTGATGTCTGATGCTCTTCCAAAGAGGTTTACGGCGCACTGCTGTAGGACCTTGGGTTTGTGAAGGCAAAAGTTTCAGCTCTGTTGCAAGAAGTGGTTTGGGGAGAAGTGGGGAGGGCCAGTGCTGGCCATGGATGAGGAGGGGCTTCCAGAATTCATCTTTCTAAAGAAGTGCAAGAAAGGGCCAAGGTTGTACAAGTGCAAATCTTTAAGAAATCTCTCTGCTAGGAGGCTGAGCGCTCCTGTTTGTTCTGAAGTCTGGTTGCTACAGAATCTCAGTATCCCTAAATTAGACATTTTGTGTCTTAAAAATCCAAAGAACTCTCTTTTTTAGCTGGTTTACACGTTTCTTTCGTAGGTACCAACACAATACGTAAACCGGAATCTTTACCGTCATAAAAATGTTATTTGACATGCTATTTTTTGCCTGTTAAAAGAAAAAACAGCATGAAAATATTTAAAATCTGAGCTGCGACCTTATCAAGTAGGTCAGACAGGGTGGCTGAGGTGCTATTAAGATGAGAAAGCCCCAGGGCAACCTCAAGAATGCTTTCTGAAAGGTGATATTAATGGCTCAGAAAGGAGTATCCTTCTCCTTTACTGGTACTAACCAATACCCAAATGTTTGAGACATAGTGCAAAGGTCTGTATCCTTCTAGCATTTCATACTCATTCTCATGCATTTTKCTGACTAGAATTTCTAGAATCATATTTCTTTCCCTCTATATCTGATGCAAAGTCACTGTCCACAGTTCCATCTAGGATAATATTTTGCTATCCTTATTTATTAAAGATAACTAACAGTGTTAATGTCTTAAGGGGGGGAAAAAAAGAAAAAGGAAAAAAAAAAAAAAAAAAAAAGACATTGTGGTCACAGTTACTTCCAGATCTATCAAATGCACAAGTGCAGGAATGCTGCCTGATTCAGGAATGCTGCCAAGGAATGCTCTCCAGAAATGCCCACCTGGAGGAACTTTACCTGGGAGTTTGGTGAGGATCTCCCCTAGTCACACAAATTGTCCCATTCTCACCTTTTTGGAAAAAAAGAAAATAGGAAGCCTTATATATAAATATATATATATAAAAGACTGCTAATATAATTATGGTAAGGAAGATAAAATTGAAAGTTTGAAAACAGAATCTTTCAAAATTGATGCACCGCTATAATATTTCACTGTTTCATTAAATGAAAATGCAGACTGAAAAGAAGTAGGCAGCTAAGTTTGAAGATGGAAAATAATATTCAATTTAGAATGATTTTCTAGTTCAGTTGCCATCAACATATTAATTATTATGCTTTTGCCATGTTCTCCTATTATTTGTGCAGCTCATAGTGTTTACAGTCTTAATAATATATATTTTTTTGGTTTTGAACCTTATGTATGTTCAAAAATGTGTCCATCTTATATTGAATAACAGTAGGTACATTTTTATGTCTGTAATATTACAATCTTTTCCACTTACCATCAGTGATCTTCTAAAAAGGCTAATATTTGTGCCTTATTTAAACAGCATAATAAGTTACCAAATAGATGAAAGTCCAAACTGATATTACCGGTTCAACTGTTCTACTCTGTCCTCATGATGGTGTAAGACTGTCTATTGGCTGCATATACAATATTTTTAATACCATGTTGGGTCCTATAGTAAGATATATTGTGCAGATCCAGTACTTTTTATGAGTTTTATACCTGCATGGGTTTTGTTTGTGCAAGTTCTGCTAATGTCTTTGAAAACCGTCAACATTTCACCACCATCTACTGGTGAGAACTGAATTCTGTTCCGTGAGAAAGCTTCTGTCATCTCCTTCAGAGGCTTCTGTTTTGTGGGGGAGATTTTTTTCAGACAAACCAGGGTCTCAAAAAACTTCCCCTTTAGTGGAGATAGCAGGTTGTTTGCTTAAGCTTTGTAATCTCTTTCTTAGGAGTAAATTTCTGACCTAGGAGGTCAAACTAGGACTTGAATGTAAGATCTTCCAGTGAATTTCTCATAGATATCTGCTTGAAACGAACCATGTTGCTCCTCTGGTTTGAGGAGAAAAATAAGAACAAGAGGAGAAGAAAGAGATTCCTGGGTTGTTCCAGTGGGGTAGTGAAGCAGAGCCTGSGAGTCCACAGGAGCAATGACAGCACTGAGCAAATCCAGCGTTCAGGGTCCTGTTTATTATTCCAGCTCAGTTGTAGTGATTCCAACCTAACTGTGTAGGCAACAGGAATGCTGCCTTTACAGCAGATCCCCTATGGGACTGCAGGAACAGATGATCCATTGTCCCAGTTGAAGCCTTCCCATCGTCTGTCTCTGCAGAAAGCCAGGTCTGGTGTTCAGGGACGGACCCACTGTGGGTACCAACGTGATCCCCAGACGCCCTCTATGCATGCAGAGGGTCTGGAGGGAGGACAGTGCTTTGCTCTCCCTTTGGGGGTCACGTAACTCCTAAAAATAGAGTTGTTCTGAAGGAAAAATGTAGTTGTAGAGGTTCTTATCTAACTGTGTGACTGAAACCTTCCTTGTTGTTTAGCATTTCAGTGGTTCTGCTGCTGCGTGGCTACGGGTGGGGTCATCAGAAATTCTCAGCACTAGCTGGAGTCCCCTCTCAGGCATTTTGACGCAGACTTCAGTGGGAGTTTTAGACGTGCTGGGTGCTTTTGAAAATCCCACCTAACATATTAAGAGAAATATTTTAGATCTCACAAATTTTAGATCTCACAAATCTGCTTTAGATGTCTTCAAGTTTTTGAATGAGCTTGTTACGACTTTGTGTCCTTGAAAACTACATAAATTCTAGGCAAAAGTTAGACCAGTTTTTCAAACAGCTTCTATTTTTGCACTTGCAATCAATCATACTTGGTTCTGCAGAACAATCTTTCATTGAGGCAGCTGTCAGATGAAGTTGCTGTGAGCATCTAAAATCTTTTCTCTATGCATGTAATCAATTGCAAAAGAAATAAAAAATTGTGCAATAAGCAAAGTGCCAGCACCAGGTCCTGTTGCAGATGCACCCTCTGTGTAATACTGCTTGTGGTACTCTGTCCAGCAGAAAGGAGCCCCAAATAGGTGTTTTAGGGAGATGCCAAGGATGGTCTATATTTCTAAGGGAGATGGTATGTTGTGTTTTGGTGCCAGAGGCTGCCCTGGGTGCTGTGGGACACCAGCTAGCCTTCTCCCTGCTGCCTGGAATTTCAAGTTGAACAAACGTGTTATTAAAAATGATGTCTGCGGCAGGCAGGTTCTTCACGGCGAAGCTCAGAGCAGGCAGGCTGTCAGTTCTCAAGGTGTCTGTGTAAATCTTTGGAGGATGAATGTAGAAATGCACCAGCAAAGACAGTCRGGATGGAGGTGTGACTTGTGTCGTCTCCAGGAACCTCCTCCTTGCTGCTCTCAGGTGTTTTTACCTTTGTCAGGTATCGTTTGTGGGATGTAGGTTGATTAGACTGTGCCCTTGCCTTCATCCCAAGGGCACAAACCCCAATAAGTCTGGGATCCATGACCTTCAGGGTGGCTGACAACAAAGGAATGAAAAGATAGTGCCTTTTTAGCTTATAAAACCTCCCCTGCCCTGCCTGTTTTCCAACATCAGTTGGTGACCAGTCCAAAGTACCTGATGGGTCTTTCCAGGAAGCTGCTCACGTCCTCGGCAGAGTTGCCTGAGGAGGCCCCAGGCGGCTCGGTCTCGAGGGCCGTCCCCATGCACGTAGGTGACGGGGCTGTCGCTGTTTTCTGCTGGACCGGAGCACAGAGCAGGCTGCACAGTTGAGAGGAACCCCAATGTTTGCTGCTGCGACGGGTACTCTGCAAAACACCCCCGCGGGCCTATTGCCTAGGTCAGTCCTAGCAACGTTTATCGTTAAAGTCCAGTAGCAGTATTAGCAGCTGAAAAATAAGTTGAATTCAAGTAAGTCGACGTCTGTCTGTGTGAATTGACCTTTTCTTTCTCCTAAAAGTAAGGGAGCAATTCGGGTGGGAGGGTGGGGAATGTGTTGACTTTCCAATCTACAGTGAATTTTGTGCAATATTTCTCTTTGTTTCAAAGTAATTTA